AAAAAATGTGGTGATGCTGTGAGGTGGTGTAGGGAGAAACCCTCAAAACAAACGAACCACTTTCGTAAAAATGCGTGGGCTAATTGATTTTGCATTATAAAGCAATTTGTGTTTTTTTTCTTTTTCAAAATAAACCATACACGGTCCTGATCATTAGAGTTAGAGGGTTTAATAGAGTTTGTTTAGAATTATATAATTGTTCGTAACATTTTTATTCAATAACTGTATTACGGTGAACTTAAAATTATTTCTTTATTTAGTTTAGGAGAAAAAATGTTGATTGAACTCTGCTTTTGGATAAAAATAATAAAATAATTATTTAATTGATTTTTTTTATTCAAATACATTTCACGTAATGCACCCAAAGTCTTTTATTCAATCCAAGTTTTTAAATGATAGTGATCCAAATGTGACTTGGGAAGTAGTACTTTCCACCTAACACAGATTGTTTGCCATGTTTTGGTCAGCGTCCGTTTTTTATTACGTGTGAAACAAAATCTCAGGTTTTAGAAATATTTATAATTAAACTCAAAAAGGAACTTTCAAACTTAAATATAATTATTCGATATTTTTAATTTTAAGAAAGAAAGAAAAAAGTTCAGGAGACATTATAGAAGAAGAAAAAGAAGGTAAAAAGGAAACAAGACAAGAAAATAAGAAAAATACAAAGTTAACTCAAGTAATAATCCAATTAAAGTTAAGTTAGGCTGGAATAAAAACTTATAGTCTAAGAGCAATTTAAACCTAACTTGTACAAAAGTAATAATATATGAAAAGTGTCATCAACGTCATCTATTTCATTTTTAATTTCAGAATATTGGATTATAATATGAATGAATGAACGAACGAATGAATGTGGACGGAGGAGTTGGCTGGCTTAGCGTTGAACACTGCTCCATGCTGTTAAAGCCTTCGCTGCTCTCAGACCAATCCAACTTCAGATTTTCCCGTGAAACTCGCATTTTCCGGTAAAATTACTCTCACACAACTCCCAACTTTTTCAACCTCGCCGCACTTGCTTTCCATTCCAATTTTCATCTTCTTCGACCGATTTCCATTTTCTTCTCTCTCAATTTCAAGGGCAAGAAACTCCGCGAATTCATACATGGCGCCTCCAATCCTCTCCATTGCTCTTCCCTCCGACACCGGTCGAGTTCTCAGCATTCAATCTCACACCGTTCAGGTTTTTCTCTTCAGCGTTTACTCCTCGATTGCTTCTTTAATACATTGAATGTTCGTTGAAGATGTCACCGACTGCTTGTTGAATGAAGAATATTGTTGCCTACAGTGAAATCATTGCATTGAGCTGTTCTTATAACAAATGTTCTGGAAAAATATTGATAACGTTTATGTCTCTTAACATGCATGATGTTTTGGATTGAGAAAAATGGTATTCTTGGTTTCTTCTTATTGGTAGTAAAATTCTATGCAACTATAACTTTGGTAATTGGTATTAATAATGAATTGAATGTCATTGCCAGTTGAATGCAGCTGGCTAAGTACTTACCTTGACATTGTGGCTGCTTGTTTATTATTCTTAGGGGTATGTTTGCAATAAATCGGCTGTCTTCCCTCTGCAATTACTGGGCTACGATGTGGATCCAATTAACTCCGTGCAGTTTTCGAATCATACAGGCAAGCCAAGCCCTTAATTTTTGTTTCAGTCTCTCAAGACTGAGGCCTCTTATATGGTGTGATGCCATTTGTCAATTTGAACAAGTTTAGGTGTGGTATGCTATACTTGTCAAAGTAATACTGCAGTAATGGTTTAATAAATTTGAGGATTATAATACAGGATATCCGACGTTTAAGGGGCAGGTCTTGAATGGACAGCAACTCTGGGAACTAATAGAAGGCCTTGAAGGAAATGAATTATTGTTCTATACTCACTTGTTAACAGGTATTGTAAATATTTCCCTTTGTACTTTAGATTGTGAACTGTATGTCACTTACCTCATGAACGCTATATTAAATAGGTACAGCATACCGCTGATTGAAGTTTTGCCACAATATGCAGCAATCTATATTTCTTAGACGATGTGTTTCTTCAACCATTTTTGTTGCTCTT